TTCTACAAAAGGAAGAATATCTTACCCTGTTCTCATAGAAGCTTTGTGTAATAGACATAAAATAAACAGAGAGAAACAAAATGATAAGATGTAAAAAAAAAAAAATCCCCACTACTCTGCTCACATAACCAAGAAGAAGACATACATCTGACTCAGCTTTTTTAAATTTAATTTTATTTATGTATTTATTTTTGGCTGTGCTGGGCTTTTCTCATTGTTTTGCAAGGGCTTTTCTCTAGATCTGGGGAGCGGGGGCAACTCTCTAGTTGCGGTGTTCGGGCTTCTCATTGGGGTGGCTTCTCTTGTCTCAGAGCACTGTCTCTGGAGCAGGAAGGCTTGAGTAGCTGCAGCACTTGGGCTCAGGAGTTGTGACCCATGGGTTTAGTTGCCCTGCAGCATGTGGGATCCTCCCAGACCAGGGATCGAACCTGTGTCCTCTGCATTGGCGGATGGATTCTTATCCACTGTACCACCAGGGAAGTCCCTGACTTTGCGTCTTTTTTTTTTTTTAATTTTTATTGGAGCATCGTTGCTTTACAATGGTGTGTTATTTTCTGCTGAATAGCAAAGTGAGTCAGCCTTTGAATTTAGCATTAGGAAAAGCAAGGTATATGGGATTCAAAAGGAAACTGATGATCTTTTGAACCCTTGTGTTTCCAATTCACCAAATATGTGTTTGGCACCCTCTGGGCTCCAGGTACTGGACTATATACTTGGGATTTGATTATGTGGTCCCCAAACTCAAGGAGCTCACTGAATATGCAGACAGGAGAGAGTCAACATCCTTGGGAACGCTGCACATGAGTGTTGAAATAGCCGGGATGCGCATCACCTTGGGAACCAGAGGTGGTACCCAGAGGCAGGACCTAGCTCCACTGCGCAGAGGAGATTGAAGAGCCTGGGAGGAAGAGAAAATATTTGCCGCGGGTGTTTAAAGGCGAGTCCAACCATCTCCTCAGTTTACATGTGGAAGCAAATGAGACCCAGAAAGATGTGGAGACAGGCATTGAGGGCCGCAGGTAACAAGTCAGCCTCGCAATAGTCAGAGAAGAACAAAGAGGAGGGAGAGATGGGAGGACAGAAGCTCAGTGGCGCCAGCAGACTGGAGTGGGCGAGGGAGGGGGTCAAGGCAGCTCAGCGACAGCAGCGGCTGCTAGGAGCCCCCCAGGATCCTTCGAAGGAAAGCCAACTCCAAGAAGGGATCGGAGGTGACCCCCAAGAAGGGACTCTTCCAACTAAGCTATGCAGGAGAATATATACATATATGTGTGTTAATCACTCAGTCCTGTCCGACTCTTTGCGACCCCATGGACTGTAGCCTACCAGGTTCCTCTGTCCATAGGATTTTCCAGGCAAGAATACTGCCATTTTGTCCTCCAGGGGATCTTCCCCACCCAGGGATTGAACCCATGTCTCCTGTGGCGCCTGAACTGGCAGGGGGATTCTTTACCACTGAACCACCTGGGAAGCCCTGAGGCACCTCGTAACGGTCCATTAATGCTCCCTGCATGGACACAGGAGCCAGTCTGAAAGAGATTCAGGAGCCAAATCTGGGACACTTTGAGCATCACAATGATTATGCAGAGTAGTGAACTGTAAACCATTGAAAAAATGCAAGCCCAGGCAGATAATAAGTAGAAAAATAGATGGGGAGAAGGGGAACTTCTAATTACAATAGAATACTGGGTGCCTATCAGTAAATGGAGTAGCTGATGGAGACAGGAAGTTATCACTTGCCATCATCAAAGTAAAGACCGTAAAGATCAGGCAAGAATCAATCCAAACTGCACTAAACGAGAAAACATGCTATTCAGAACCTCATTTGATGAACTCTAAATAGGAACTTCCAAATAAACCATGTTCATTTGACTGTCTCAGTTAACTACTGCAATCATGTGAAAGAATAGTCCCGGTCTTAGGAAATTTACAGTTAAGTATTTATGGGTAAAGGACATGATGAATACAATTTACCCTGGAAATTTACTGAGAAAAAAAAAATAGCCAAGTGAGAGTGTATAGATAGACATACAGAGCAAATGCCAAAGCAGACAGGGTTAAATGTTAACAAGAGGCGAACCTGGGCAAAAGGTATACCAGAACTTCTGTACTACCCACATATCCTCTGTGTCAGCCCTCTGGATGCCCGCATTCAGCATCTGTGGTTCGGCATCCAAGGATACAGGCAGCTGGCTGCGCTGCATCATTTTATGTATCTGAGCATTCACAAAGTTTGGTGTCTGCTGAGGGGTCCTGGAACCAACCTCCCTCATATACTGGGGGCAACTGTATTCTTCAGTTTTCTGTAAGTTTAAAATTATTTCCGAATAAACAGTTTATTTTAGATGCACTACCACATGTTAGGGAAAGTTCTGCTCCCTGGATTTCTGCAGACGGCGAGGACAGTCCACCAGCTGCACTGCGAGGATGCCCGCCATTAACCCTCTCTCTTTGGAACCTGGGGCGGCCCCTCCCCCGCCTCTTGTCGGCCGCTGGGAGACCCACAGCACTAATGACGCAGTGGGTGTGCAGGAGACCTTTGTGGAAGGTTGCAGGTAGACAGTGCAATCACATCGTGTTATAGCAAGCATTTCAAAGTTATTTATGGCTCGCTGTTCTTAACTTTTCCTAGCCATCTGAGACCAAGGGAATAGCCTTGCACTGGCTGTTTCCTGACCTCTAGACTCCCACCTTGGGGTTCTAAGACAGAAATGGCTACAACCAGATTTTAAGTCTGAAATTTCTTTCTTGTTCTCTCCTGCACCCTGCCTCTCACTCTGCTACTGTGGCTGCTGTTGTTTAAAGAAAAGATAAGGAGACACTGCAAGTATATTGAACGTTTATCTCCAAAACTATACGAAGTGCTTTACACGAGTAATTTTATTTAAAACACAACACCCAAGACATGCGTCCTGTTTTCCAGGTGATGGAATCGTCATTAATCAGTATCTTGCCTTAGGTTTCATGCCTGGTCTCCCCCACCGCTCTAATCCCCTACTACATGTTTCCACAGAGAATGCTGACTTCCAGTTCCAAAGAAGGCAAAGGAAACAAGCTTGGGAAAAGTCTGCAAAGAGAAATAAGCTTAGTGTAGGTATGGCGTTCTCTTTTAAAAAGTACTTAGTCAGCTAGGGCTTTCATGAGCGTTCCTGGGACGTCTGGAGTAATGTGAGAAGAACTCTGCTTCCCTCTCGTGGACATTCTGCACTATGACGCCCTTCACGGCCGCAATTCCGCCCTTGTGAAATCAATACGTGAAAACATCACCAAGAGGTGCATACAGAATCCATTTTATTTTTATGTCATATCTGGGGAAAGAGCCTTTTCAATTCCGAACCATGCTACAGCTTCTCCTGAAAATTAACCTTTGGTGCCAAATGGCTGTCACCATTCATACCCTCATATTGGAGTAATCTTTTTTTCTTTTTTTGATACGAACTACAGGAGAGTTAACAAAATGATTTTTTTACATATTCTATGTATTTAATCTTTATAATACACTTGTGGAGTAGATATGAATAGCTTCACTTTATAAGTGAAAAATCCGAAGCTCAAAGATGTAGAGAGACTTTCTCAAGTCTCTACAATTTTAGTTAATTTTTAGTTAATAGTAAGGTTGAAACATGAATATATTTCTTCTTTATTTAAAAACACTTTTTTTGGGGATGTGGACCATTTTAAACGTTTTTGTTGAATTTATTACAATTTAGTCTCTTGTCTTTTTCTTTTTTATGTTTCTTTGGTATCGAGGCATGTGGGAATTTAGCTCCCAGACCAGGGATCAAACCTGTACCCCTTGCAATGGAAGGTGAAGGCTTAACCACTGGACCACGAGGGAAGTCCCCTTTCTGCTGGTGTAAGTCACAGTAGGCAGAGATTTTGAAACGTTCCTGACAGATCGGGTGCCTGTCAAGTGAGAGCCGGGTCCGAGTCCCAGCCTAACTGAATCCATGCTGCCGGGGCTGCAGGGCCCACAGCTTTCAGAGAGGATTCTGGTTCCAGCCAGTCTTTCCCCAGCCTTTCCTCATCTCCTCCCTTTATATATATTCCACTTTATCGTATATAGTTTTCCATCAAAAATATTGACTAGGTTTGAAAGACAGAAAAAAATCAAGACATAGAAACCATTAGGGAAAGAAAAAGCCAGTTTTGCCTTAAACAATAATTGGCCAAGTGGCTTAGCTGGTGAACAATTTTCTGAAAGTCCGGGGCCACAGACGTTCGACCCAGGATGGGAAATAACAGCCTTGGCCAGAGCCCGAGTCTACCCTGCTGCTGAGGCCCTGGCTGGTGCCGACCATGGGCCCAGATGGTTCTCCGCCCGCTGCAGCCTCCATCCTGGCCTCCCTGGGGATGCTCCCGAGACTCCTCTTTCATCACACCCGCCTTCTTTCTGATAGGCCCTCAGTGTCTCTGCCGGCTCAGGGGCCACCCCCCACCCTGTATGTAAAAAGCCCCCGAAGCCCCCGCAATCACCCCAGGGGCTCCGTCCAGGGGCTCCTGTTCCCAGCCTTGCCTGGAGCTCAGTTTCCATCCCACGCCTTGTACTTTTCAACTCCTCTTCCCAGGCCCCATAGCGAGACACTCAAGGAATCACTTGATTTTTTTTCTATTTCACCAATTTCTATAATTGATACAGTGCAGTATTTTTTTTTCTTAAATGTTTGGCTGCTGCGTGTTGTCTAGTTGTGGCGAGCAGGGGTTACTCTCTAGCTGCAGTGCTCAGGCTTTTCACTGCAGTGGCTCCTGTTGTCGTGGGGCACAGGCTCCAGGGCGAGCGGGCTCAGTAGTCACGATGCACAGGCTCCAGGGCGAGCGGGCTCAGTAGTCACGATGCACAGGCTTATTTGCCCTGTGTTGTATGGGATCTTCCCAGACCAGGGATTGAACCCATGTCCTCTGCACTGACATGCAAATTCTTCACCTCTGGACCACCAGGGAAGCCCCAGAATCACTCATTGTTTTCTCTTCCCCTGGAGGCCTTCCTCAGCTTTCTGTGGACTTCACGCCATACGGCGCTGGGTGCCCTGTCCATTCCGCAGGTGGACAAATATAACTCCAGACCCGGATGCAGGTTCATCAAGTGGGGAGGTTGGACACTTAGCGCAGCATGTGGGAGCTTTTTTACAGGCTGATTCGCATGCATTAAAATGGCACATCAATCCTACTGGATCCACTGCCTCTAATCCTTTCACAAGGATGTTGTTGTCACTTGGTAAAGTCACAGGCACCCGCGTCCACCCCTCGGGAGCTCCTCCTTCCCCTCTCTCAACGCGGCAGTGCCGCTGGATGGACTGCGGGGCTGCCTTTGACCCAGCGGTAACAGCTACAAGGTACCGGGTCAGTGGTTCCAGCTGGCAGGGGTTTGGCTTCAGCAGCTGCCAGATGGGCAGAGCTGAGCAGTAATTCTTCCAGGGCTCCTGGGAAAGGTGAAGTCTTTCTCAGAGAGCTGAGGTCAAGAAACTTGTAGCTGATAGTAAGAAAAGAGCCCAAATGCATGATGTAAGAGAACAGATGGCTAGAGACTCTTCCCTACCTTCCAAGGGCCACGTCTTACGAGCACCAATAAATTAGATTATTTTCTTCTTTGCTCTCAATATCTATGCAACTGGGCCTCTGTTAACCACACCCCATGTCCCCACTCTTTGCCAGGAAAAACTGTTGAAATGAGTGGATGGAACATTTGCCATGGTTCTCTGGCTTCTGTGGCTAAAGAGCTTCTGGTCTAGCTGGAATGTGAGGTTGAGACGGCAGCTGTCACCTCTCTTTGTTCTAAGCATGTGGATTGAAACTGTCTAGCTTAAAGAAATGAATTTTGCTATGAGACGGCAGGCTGCATACTTAGATCAGAGAAGCCACTTGCAAATGGCTGTCTGCTTAGGAGACATGACTGGATTTACCCAAATCTAATTACTGACCATGGCTTCCCTGGTGGCTCAGAAGGAAAGTATCTGCCTGCAATGCGGGAGACCCAGGTTTGATCCCCGGGTCAGGAAGATCCCCTGGAGAAGGAAATGGCAACCCACTTCAGACTCTTGCCTGGAAAATCCCATGGAGGGAGGAGCCTGGTGGGCTACAGTCCATGGGGTCGCAAAGGAGTTGAACATGACTGACTGATTGGACAACAACAAAAGTATTTTGTAGCATAAATTAAATGCTGCTTGTAAGAGTGTTAAATTGTAGAGTCAGCTCATGAGTCAAGGAAGTGTATACATTCAGAGCAACCTCTGAAAATTTCTTACAGTTCCCGTCAAATATAATATACGAGAGAGCCAACCCAGGTCAGGGGATGCTGTCTCCTCTAATATAATCCATGCTCTATACCACCCTTCTGTGTGAGATACCCCAAGGTTAAAGGAGATGGAGCTTGTAGAAAGCCCATCACAGGTCCTGGAGCATAGTGAGGCTGTACTGTGAGTTCATATTGCAAATGGATTCCAGGAGTGCTCTGTGAGTCAGAGCGGGGCATTACTTTTTAATATTTATATTTATTTATTTGGCTGCACCAGGTCTTAGCTGCAGCATGTGGGAACTAGTTCCCTGACCAGGGATGGAACCCGGGCCCCCTGCATTGGGAGGGTGGAGTCTTAGCCACTGAACCACCAGAGAGGTCCCCAGAGCAGGGCATTATTGTAGAGTCGTCCTGGACGGACACGTGACAAGTGAGGGAAACATGAAGGATCAGACAGACAAGCTGAGCTCCAGAGAAGCTCCAGCCAAATTTTAACCAAGTCCCAGGGGATTCCCTGGATTTGAGACAGCTGAGGGCTCTCCCCACTGGCATTAAGCTCTGGCAGCTGAGGGCAGCGACTGTGGGTCACATTCCCACATCCACCAGTCTCGGTGATGCCCACAGTAAGTGTTGGGGCTTCCCAGGTGGAGCTAGTGGTAAAGAACCTGCCTGCCAATGCAGGAGATGTAAGAGATGTGGGTTCGATCCCTGGGTCAGGAAGATCTCCTGAAGAAGGTAATGGCCAACCTGCTCCAGTATCATTGCCTGGAAAATTCCATGGACAGAGGAGCCTGGTGGGCTTTGGGCCGTAGGGTCACAAAGAGTCGGACACAACTGAAGTGACTTTGCACAGTAAGAGTTATTATGATTGTTGCTGTTGTTGGTTGGCCTTATCATGAAATTTTGCCTGAAATAAATTCCGTCGTTGAAAGTTTGTGATTTCACCCGGCGAATTCGGTTTTATAGGAGATGGAACATTAGTCCTGGAGAGCCTTGGAGCCCCAGAGTAGCCAGGTAAGGCCAGGGTCATTGGCCAGGTCCCTTACATTCTGTCCTGCACTCACCCTTTCCCTGGTTCTTCTCTCACTGGATCACAAGGTGACCCAAACCTGTGACATGGTCTCCACCATTATTAATGAGAGAAGTCATCCCAGACCCATATTTCTTTCACGTGAGTCTCAATATCTTTCTGAATCCAATTTTCACCTTGGGGGACATTTAGGGACTAGAGATGCCTTTGGAAGAAATAGGATCTAGTCGGTGACTCTGGAGTGTGTAGAAATAGGATTCATGAGATTTATAGGCATGAAAGCCTTTGGAGAGAATTTTCGCGGTTATAAATTAGGTTTGGCATAAATGATGGTATAGTATGCATTTCTCCAAAAAGTAGCATGAAAGAGGAGATGCTATGGTGTTGTTAGTACTGTTACTATCATGTAAGATTTGAGGTCAATTATCTGTACTACTGTTGTGATTGTGTAAAATTTGAGGCAAGTATTGTGTATATGGTCTTTCCCAGTGGCTCAGTGGTAAAGAATCTGCTTGCAATGAAGGAGATGCAGCTTCAATCCCTGGGTGGGGAAGAGCCCCTGGAGGAGGGAATGGCAACCCACTCCAGTATTCTTGCCTGGAGAATCCCCATGGACAGAGGAGCCTGGCTGGCTGCAGTCCATAGGGTCACAAAGAGCTGGACACGACTGAGCAATTTAGCAGGCACACATGCACATTATGTATATATTTGCCTCAGATAGAAGGTATTTTAATATATAAAGTATAGGTATGCAATATTGGATAATCATCAGTACAAAAATAAAAAATAAGAGCTGAGCACTCGGGAGTGTGTGGGAGGGTCAATGTAGCCAGAATCCTATTCTTCAAGTAGCCAAAAGGGCTCCCCTTGTGGCTCAGCTGGTAAAGAATCCACCTGAGATGTGGGAGACCTGGGTTCAATCCCTGGGTTGGGAAGATGCCCTGGAGGAGGGAAAGGCTACCGAGAATTCCATAGACTATATAGCCCAGGGGGTCGCAAAGAGTCAGACACAACTGAGCAACTTGCACTCACTCACTTGAACACAAAACTTAGCTCTCAAGCTTCGGGCAGCCAAGTAGGTCTCAGAGATCAGCAGCCCGCAGGACACTTCCTCTTTAAGAAGGAGATCAGGGGAGATCAGAGATCAGAGAGCTGAACCAAACTTAGAGGAGTCCCTGCCTGCAGAAGATGCATCTGGAGACCTGGGAAGCCAGCCCTAAATTTCGTTTGACACTTGGGAATGTGTGTATGTGTCTTCGTGTTGGTATATGTGTGTGTGCATGGTTGAATCATCATATTTATCGCTGTGCAAATTTGCAGCGGCTTAAAATGTCTCAGCAGATCATACGTTCTGTGCAGGACCTATCTGTAGGTGCGGCAGGAATATTCAACCAGCATTAACCCTGTCAGAGAAAATGCTTTTCTGTTACCAACTTCCAGGCAGATGACAAGTGCAATTGTCCGGCTGTCATTCTGGCCCCGGGCGTCTGAGCAGGATGTATTAATGAGGGCCAGGCTGCCTCAGGCATTGCACAGGGCTGCTCCTGGGTCATTTAGCCATCTGACCGCCCCACCCCCCAGCCAGAGCCCCCCACTGCTGAGGTGCAGAGCACCTAGGAAAATCCAGGGAGGTTGAGATGGTGATGACCCTATGAAGTGCATTTTCCTTTCTAACAGGTCATTAGAACCACACACCCTGACCCCCTTACACGGTTCCACCATGCCCTCCTGGGAGCCCCAAGGGTCTGACCACAAGGCGAACACCAGCGTGGGCAAGTAATACATTCTCTGAACTTATCTGCTTTCACCCTCACTGATTGACATGATCAAATCTGTATCTTTCTTCTTCCCCTTTTGTAAGACAAGAACACGACTGTCCCTCAGAGTGATCATCTTCAAAGGCAGAAAACAGACGCTTCTGGTCCCAGTTAACACACCAGTATGACTATTTGAAAAAGGGTGGGGTGGTATTCGAAACTACCCTTTTAAAAAGTCTCTAATCTTATATAAAGCAGTTCTAGGGTTTTGCTTTAATAGCCTTGTCCCCCAAATAAATAAAGGTTAACGAGGTTTTGCAGAGTGCCTTGTGAAACAGGTGCTAATATCAATCGTTTGTAAATAAGGAAACTGAGGCTTAGAGAGTAGTCTTAACCAGTGGAAGGGTGAGCCTGGCTCAGTGCAGGATAAAACTCTTATCCATCATATGCCACTTTCTTTCACTAAGATCTTAAGATATTAGAGAAAAACAGAGAAGATGGATTCCATTTCTGTTACTCCAGGGTTCTTTTTGGTTCACTTCTCAGTCTTCACACCTACAGATTATTCTAATTAAAATTTGAGCTAAAAAATGGAAGTTGGCTTCCTAGGGTTGAGTTGTCTATTCCTAGCTGACATGAAAGCAATTCAAACATCCCACTTTATACCTTCACTTCATACTGCATATTCACGCCCATGATGTCAAATATCTTAGCATCTTTGATAAAGCTCAAACCCTTAGTAATCAAGGGCTTCTCAGTCTGGTCCCAGGTAACCTGCTCCAACCTTTTGCATCTCCAGGCTCTTGGGTACCACAGACCAGGGTGATTGAAGGCCACTCAATCATGCACTGCAAGGGTCTCTGGTCAGTTTGGTTATTCCCTTTGCTTGGAAAATTTATTTCCCTTTCCTTATGTGGAAAATTTCAGTTTGTGCATCCTTGAACAAGTAACCCAAGTGTTACCCCACTCTCCCAGGCAGAGTAAGCCAGTTGTCTTTGATGTTTGAATGCGGTCGATTATAACTCTGTGTGGGGGTTCTCCACAGGAACAGAATCAATAAGAGAAACCTATATGTCTCTATCTACCTATTGTCTATCTGTCTATCATCTATCTAGAGATATTTATTTTAAGGAATTCGCCCATGCACTTGTGAGGGCTGTCGGGTTTGAATCTGTATGGCAGGTCAGCAGACTGGAGATCTAGGGAAAAGTGGATATTGCTGCTGAAGTCTGAAGGCAGAATTCCTTCTTCCTTGGAGTGGGGGCAGGGACCTTAGTCTTGTTTGGACTCAGTCTTTCCTCACAAGGGCTTGCTAAGTGTGTGTGCGTGTTCAGTCGTGTTTGACTCTTTGTGACTCCATGGACTGTAGCCTGCCAGGCTCCTCTGTCCATGGAATTTTCC